TCGCTTGACGCTGAGTGGTGACCGTGACAATGAGGGTCCAGAACAGCCATTCCCATTGAGGTTAACAGCCAACGGAGAGACAAATAGGAGTTTGTACTTAGCTCTTAAAAGTAATAGGGGCTTTTACGGAGGTATAATTAGAGAAGAAAAAAGGCCACCTCGAATGTGAAAAAAAAATTAAAAATTCAGCAGACAAAAGATGAAATAGTCCTGGTGGTAGGCAGAATAGTGACCCTGCAAAAGTATCCAAGTCCTGCCCACCCTGACCCTATAAACATGGCCCCTCCATGGTTAAAGGGACTTTGCGAGGTAACTAGTTGAAGGGTCTCAGGATTATCCTGGACGATCTGCTGGGCCCGGTGTCCTCATAGTATGGTTACAGGTGGTCACAGAAGGGGAGGTGACAATGGAAGCAGAGTAGAGTGACCCGAAGAAGGTCCATGAGTCAAAGACTGTGGGCAGCTTCTAGATAAGCTGGAAAAGATAGGAAACAGATGGTCCCTGAGTCTCCAGAAGGAACACGTCCACCCGGATTTCAGACTCCTGAACTCTAGACGTGTGAGCTGGTAAATCCATATTGTTTAAGCCCCTAAGTTTATGGTACTTTGTGACACCAGCAGTAAGGAACAAGTGTAGTCTTTCTGAAAACTGAATTAATTATCTGGTAGAATCAAGTGGAAGAACTGTTTCATGTCAAAGAGCCAAAGTACGAAGACCAGGAACCACCGTGAGATGGTAGACAGGGAGGGCAGGGCTGGGACACTAATCTAAACAACAAGCATCTAGATAGAGGAAGGAGAACAAATAGAGAAAGAATTAAGTAGATAATAGAAGAAAATGTCAATGTACTGAAGAAAGACTTTAGTGCAGAGTAAAAGACCAGAGTCCCAGACAAGATTATTAAATAAGAGATTTAAGGGGCGCCTGGGTGGCTTAGTCGGTTAAGCGTCCGACTTTCGCTTAGGTCATGATCTCACGGTTCGTGGGTTCGAGCCCCGCGTCGGGCTCTGTGCTGACTGCCAGCTCAGAGCCTGGAGCCTATTTCAGTCTGTGACTCCCTCTCTCTCTGACCCTCCCCTGCTCACGCTGTCTCTCTCTCTCTCTCTCCTAGAAATAAATAAAACATTAAAAAAAAAATTAAAAAAAAAAAATAAATAAAATAAATAAATAAATAAATAAATAAATAAGAGATTTAAAAGATCTAGACTTACTGTGTAAGATTGTTGAATTCCAAAAATGATGATAATAATGATGATAAAACACCTCATAAGCTTTCACAAAGAAAAACAACTTCTAAAAGAGAGAGAGAGCAAGATCAAACTTCCTCTTTGTGACCTGTTAAGGATTATTGGATAATATCATTACTTTTAAGGGGTGGGGGGTAGATTATAATTAAAAACTCATGTATTTATAAAGATGTATGTATATTAGGGTAAAAAAAGGTATTCACTTCATATTTGTATATTGAGTATCTCATTTGTGCTGGGTACTATCCTAGGTATTAAGGAAATGACACCTTATACACTGAAAGAAAAGTTTACTAATAATATTATATTAAATATTTTTAAAGCAATCTCAGTAAAATCCAGGATTTAGGAGGAGTTGGTGGGAAGCAGGGAAAAGAACAGTTTGATAAAAGTATGGTGAAAGCTTCACCTCAGTAAAGCATCATTCAGGGGTAATGACTGTGTTATACTGAAGAAAAGAAATACAGCTCGACTTGTGTGAAGAGGGAGAAAGCAACCACCGAAGTGCCACATTAACCTGTGGAAACAGAATAAACAGATTCCACCAGCTGATAAAAGAGGAAATAAAGAGCAAAATGAAGAGAAATTGTGACATGACACGAAAGGGGAAAGAGCCACCGGTCTTCATAAGCCAGCTCGTGGATGGCAGGATTCAGTCCCTGGATGTCACTGTTGAGCTGTGGGAAAACCCACTTGGGAGCCCATTCTGTGTCTAAACTTCTAATTTCATGAAATCATTTTCTCCTTTTTTAAGCAACTTTGAGTTGAGATTTTTGATTCAGTGGATCAATTTCACACCCCATTTCACAGATGAGAACACTGAGGTTCAGAGAATGAGAACTTGCAAAAAAAGCCACAATAAAAATTTGGAATTTGGCAGACCTGAGAACATTTTAGAGGCAGCAAGTTTAACAGACCCAACGAGGCTAAATCCTAAGCTATCTGTGTTTGATTCATATCCTCAAATCCCCCCAAATCTCAAGAAGTGGCAGCACCTGATACAGAAGTGGAGACGAAGTGGGGATGAAGTGGAGGGTTGGCTGACAGTCCTGTTTGTGAAGCCATTTGATGCCCACATCTCTTCCCTCAATCCGAGGTCGCAGGCCCCGCCCCTCTCCTACCCCAGGAAGAGGGAGGGTCATTCTCCAGAGAGTGAACGGGAGGCGGGGGCCTGGGACCAGTGTAGAGCAGAGGACGGTGGGGGGTGGGGGGGGTGGGAGGAGGTTGCAGAGCACGTGGGACGCTGTCTGGCCCCGGAGGAAGGCCCCACAGGTGCCAGCGGCAGGGTGCCCTCCCCGAGAGACCTGGTCGGATTGCCCAGCCGGAAGTCTCACAGTGGTCAGCCACCACTCACCCTTGAGTTTCAAATTAGCATGTTTAGTGCTTCATTCTTTTTGTTTTTAATTAATTTAAAAAAATTGGGGGACACTAGGGTTAAGCATTCGACTTTGGCTCAGGTCGTGATCTCATGGTTTATGAGTTCAAGCCCACATCGGGCTCTGTGCTGACAGCTCAGGGCCTGGAGCTGCTTCAGATTCTGTGTCTCCCTCTCTCTCTGCCCCTCCCCTGCTGGCGCTCTGCCTCTAAAAAATGAATACACTTATAAAAAAAATTTTTTAAACTTTTTTTATTTATTTATTTTATTTATTTATTTATTTTTTTAATGTTTTATTTTATTTCTAGGAGAGAGAGAGAGAGACAGCATGAACAGGGGAGGGTCAGAGAGAGAGGGAGTCACAGACTGAAACAGGCGCCAGGCTCTGAGCTGGCAGTCAGCACAGAGCCCGACGCGGGGCCCGAACCCACGAACCGCGAGATCATGACCTAAGCGAAAGTCGGACGCTTAACCGACTAAGCCACCCAGGCGCCCCTTTTTAAACTTTTTTTAATGTGGGCTCCACACCCAGGGTGGAGCTCAATGCAGGGTTTAAACTCATGACTGTGAGATCAAGGCCTGAGCTGAGATCAAGAGTTGGACATTTAACCAACTGAGCCATCCAGGTTCCCCTAGCGCTTCACTCTTAAATACGAGCAGACAGCTAAGGCTCACCAGACTTCTGAGCCACTTCAAAGGAGAGGCCAACTGATGAAGAACACTGGCAGAGACAGAACACACTAGAGAAGAATATCTGAAAATAAATCTGTTGTTAACCTCCTGAGAGAAACCAGGGTTGCAGTCATGGCGGAGGCCAGGATTCCAGAAAAATGGAGTATCTGGTGAACAGAAAGGGACTCTTGATATTTAGAAATAATGACCTATCCAAAAGATCACAAGATAAAGACCTTTTTTAGACGATAGGTCAAAATGACAAAAATAGGAGAAAAGGTTTAAGAATATTAGAGAACCGGTTTAGGGATCTAGCAGGCAACTATTAGGGATTCCACACGGGGAGAGGAGAGAAAAGGGGGAAATGACAAAATCAAAAAAAATTTCTCAGATTCAAAGGATGTGAATTTGGAGATTGAAAGGGCTCACCTAGTGCCCCGCGTGGTACATGGAAATGGACTCGCTAGGAGAAAACTAGGGACCAAGATTCCACCCATTTCACAGAATGGACAGCAGTTCACACTCAAGGGGACGGGAAGAGCTTGGGACTTCTCAGATGCACTGCCAGAAGCTGGAAGACAATGGAACAGCGACTTACAATCCTGCAGGGTAATTAGCTTTGCCCTAGAGTCCCTATTTAACCAAACTGTAAGAGCAAAGGTAAGATATCCAGACTTGTGCAGTCTCAGAAATACTACCTCTCATTCACCTTTTCTTCACAATCCGCTGGAGGCTCTGCACCCCCTACACAACGGAGTGGCGCAAGCCAGCAGGGCTGTGTAGGAAATAGGAGACGTACCACCGGCGAGAAGGGCAGAGGGGCCCGGGGCACCAGTGTGCAGCGGGCCTAGAGAGCAGCCGGTCCAGACCAGGGCAGGGAGAGACTCCAGGAGCAGTTTCTTCCGGGTGACAAGGGGAGTGGTATAACGGGAATCTACACACCAAGAGAAAAACACATTTGGGAGGAAGCTTGGGCATTGAGAGATGCTAAGTACAAAGAAAACTAAGTAAATGAAAAAAGTTACTAATTCTAGGTGTGGGAAGAATAATATCATGGAAGGAAAGGAAGCTAACCACAGTTTATTACGTGGGCAAGCAGCAGATGGTGTTTCTGTTGTAATAATGCAGACATTGAGTATTGATGTAACCACAATTTCCAATAATCCACACTGGGAGAGGGAGGAATGATAAGGTGTGTGGCTTACAGAGACTCAAATCCTTACACGGTAGGAAGGCCCTAATTATTAATAAGAGCTGGAATATCAGGACCTAGCAAGGGAAGCTAGTCAGTGATAGGAAGGCAAGCCCTGAAAGAATCAGCTAAATAATTTAAATCAGTGGTCTTTTGGGAGGTCAAATCAGGAGGAAGGTCAGCATGTATGCGTGTACCTTGTGAGTGTATGTGGCACTCAGAACTATGTGCACATTTTATTTTAGTAAAGATAAAATTTAAAAAAAAAAATACTTAAGGGGCACCTGGGTGGCTCAGTTGGTTCATTAAGCCTCTGACTCTTGATTTCAGCTCAGGTCACGATCTCCCAGTTGTGAGATTGAGCCCCGAGTTGGGCCCTGCACTGAGTAGTGTGGAGCCTGCTTGGGATTCTCTCCCTCCCTCTCCCTCTCTCTCTCTCTCTCTCTCTCAAAATAAACATTAAAAAAATAATTTAAAAAATTTTAAAAACACTTAAAAATTAAGACAAGTAATATGAAAGGTATCAAACGAAGTTTATTAGCTGTTATACAAAATTCTACCGAATGCAAACACCATATTCTACTAAATGTAAATGGGCTGCATTCTGCGGTTAAAGAACAGAGCCCCTCAGATCGGGTAGTCAGCACATGTCTGTTGTAAAGCATCTGATGCGGCTCTGTTGTTTCTCGCACTGGATCACATCCGTGGAACTGCTGTCAGAGTTCCGTGTCTCCCCGACCGAAGGAATGCCTTGTGACTCTGGAGGTAGGCCACTGGACAGTGGAAGTTTATTCTTGGTTCTAGCAACATAAAGACTGAAAATTTTATTCTTGATCCTGGGAGTCGTTGGAACTGCCCCATCCCAGCTGTAGTATCAGAGGAGGCAGCCCATCTGTTCCTGCCGCCAGGAGCCCTCAGCCTGGGGCTGCTCCTTCCAGGAAACCGGAAGTTGGCCTTCTGGCTCTCGCGCGCTCATGAATTCCTTTTCTGTTGTAACTAGTCCACCCACTTCAGTTGCTTACAACCAACGAGCCCTAACTGGTAAAGTTAAACCTCAAATAAGATTCAGCTGATAGACACACAAACCTATCTACCTTTAATTTCAATCTTTTTTTGGTCTCACATGTAAATCAGTAATAAATTAGTAAATAAGGGAGGCAGGTAAAATCGGAAAGAAAGTAGAACTTAAGGTCCACCAAATAGAATTGAAGTTGAAAAACATTAAAAACGAAGTGGGTCATTATCTAATGATAAAAAGTATGATTCATAAGGAGGGTGTAACCGTCATCTAGGAACCCGAAAACTTAGCAGATAATACAAATACATAATGGAAAAAACTCTTAAAAACTGAGGAAACCAGGGTGCCTGGGTGGCTTAGTCGGTTGAGCGTCTGACTTGAGCTCAGGTCTTGATCTCACAGTTCGTGGGTTCAAGCCCCGCGTTGGGCTCTGTGTTGACAGCTCAGAACCTGGAGCTGCTTCAGATTCTGTGTCTCCCTCTCTCTCTGACCCTCCCCTGCTCACGCTGTCTCTCTCTCTCTCTTTCTCAGAATAAATTAAAAAAAAAAAAAAAAACTGAGAAAACCTAACCAACAAAAGTATACTTTCAGTGGAGGATTTTAATTTATCCATTTCAGAATTCAACATATAAAATAGAATATGGAGATATGCAAGTCATTATAGAAATAAGTAGAAAATATGAGTAGAGAAAATACATGTGGTAAATACACATATGAAAAGAAGTTCAACCACATTTGGGTAAATGTATGTTAAAGTAACAATAAGAAAACATTTTTCATCCATCATATTGGCCAAAATTCAAGAACTACAGCATCTAGTGTGAGGGAAGATATTAGAAAATAGATACTTTCAAAAGCTATAAATGGAAATGGAAATTATTACAATAATTTAAATCATTACAATAAATTACAATATTTGGAAGGGAATAACCTTTAAATATCTCTTAACTGTAAATGCTTACACCCTGTGACTCAGAATTTTGGGAATCCATCCTGCAAAAACAATTGCATTAGAGTGTACTGGATGTACATACAAAAATTTTTGTTGCAATGTTGTCGCAAAAAACAGAGGAAAACCTTACTTTAAGTCATAAGTGGAGTAATTCTGAATAAAACTGAAGTGTATCCATACTGTGGAATATTACTCAGTTGTTAACGGAGTTGGCACTCTCTGTAAACATGGATGTATCTATCGTTGGCTAGGAAAGCAAGTGGTAATATAATGTGTCCGATTCAACCCCTTCTTACACAATATATACAGAAACCATGTGTGTGGTATAGATGTATATGTGAATATTTACATGAGTATGAAGAAAGGTGTGGAAGCATCAACCAAGCTGTTACTGAGTGTCACTTGAGGGAGGCAGGATAGAGAACAGGCTCGTGAATTTCTTTCACTTTCTATAATAAGCATATGATATTTCTGTCATTAATAAAAGATTAACAACGGATCAAGTAAACATTTAATCACACTAAGGCGTTCTCTAGGGAACGTGTAGTGTTTAATCAGCAAGAACTTGGATGTTTTAAGTGGTAAAGAAATGGATATACATTTCTGAGAATCACAAATCAGCATTTGTTTTTATTCTCAGTGATAAGGCTTTGTAATGTGTTATCTTGTATTTTAATTAAATGTGAGGGCTACCCATTCTCTGCTGTTGGGGTTCTGTTGTTACACTCCTAAAATACTTTTGCTTTTGACAGGACTGTCTTCCTCAGTGGAATACAATATAATGGAGTTGGAACAAGAACTTGAAAATGTGAAGACCCTTAAGACAAAATTAGGTACCGTACATTTTTGTTCTTCACTCGTGTTTGGATCTGGGATTCTTTCCAGAGACTTTACCACAGCCTGAAAGATTAAAAAAATTATGAAATGTTGAGCGTAGGTTGTAGGCTTCCAGTCTATCGAGAGCTATTGATAAAGACTGTCTCGCTGTCTCTCTCTCTCCTAGAAATAAATAAAAAATATTAAAAAAAAATAAATAATAAATAAAAAATAAAAAGTAGAGGACACAGACTTAACATGTTAGAGTCATGGAAGGTATAAAACAAGTCTAAACAGGACTTCTAAATATAAAATCTGAAGGGTCTGAGAAGAATACAATAGATGGGATTAAATGCAGATTACACACTCAGAAGAAAAGATTAGTGAACATGAAGATACAGTAATAGAAACTATCCAAAATGAAACACACAGAGGAAAAAACCTGAAAAGTAAAGGAAAATCCTTGCATTTGGGGGCGACTTCCAGTGCGCCAACTTAAATGCAACTGCAGTCACTGAAACGGGGGGGGCGCAGAGAGGAAAAAAAAAAGCATTTGGAGAAATAATGGCCAAAAGTGTTTCAAATCAGACGAAAGCTGTCAATTCCCAGATCCAAGAGACTCCATGAACCCAAAGAATAAGAAGCATAAAGAAAACCACTCTAAAGCACAGCTTAATCAAACTATTCAAAGTCAATGATAAAGAGGACATTCTCAAAGCAGAGAGAGAAAAAAGACATTTTAAAAGATGAGGATGACAGACTACTTGTCAGAAATAATGCAAGTGAAGAGACAATGGAGTGACATCTCTGAACATCAGCTTCTGAAAAGTCATTTTCCAAAACAAAACAAAACAAAAGGTGAATAGATACATACTTATCCTCTCCCCAAGCTAAGAGACAGTCTTTTTTTTTTTTTTTAATGTTTTATTTATTTCTAGGAGAGAGAGAGAGAGAGAGAGCGAGCGAGCAGGGGAGGGTCAGAGAGAGAGGGAGTCACAGACTGAAACAGGCTCCAGGCTCTGAGCTGGCAGTCAGCACAGAGCCCGACGCGGGGCTCGAACCCACGAACCGCGAGATCATGACCTAAGCGAAAAGTCGGATGCTCAATCGACTAAGCCACCCAGGCGCCCCTGTGTCCTCTACTTTTTAAATAATAGGAGATACGATAGTAATAACACTTGTAATGTTTTTATCTGCTAATTCTAACTTGTGTGTGAATTCCTGGTAAGTTTCAGTCGATTGCCTTTGCTCCTCATCATTGGTTGTATTTTTTGCTTTTCCTCTTGCCTGGCAATTTTTGATTGGATGGTGGACACTGTGGATCTTATCACTGGCCACTATGTTTTTGTAGCCTTTGCTCTGAAGGCCTGTCAGGCGGGGCCAGAGCAGCACCTCCCATAGGGCCAGTTGTTCTCACGTTAAGGCAATAATGCTTGTGATTTCTGGGGCCTTGGTACTGTCTCGTGGGGGCAGGCCCCATTCCTGGCCCTTCCCAATGGTTGTATGCTGCTCCACGTAACATTTCTGACTGGTTCCTTCTCCAGCTGTGGTTTGCTTGCTCGTGTACCTGAGCTGATTTCACCCCACTGAAGACCAAGGATGACCCTCTCAGGATCCTTGGAGTTCTTTCTCTGAGGAGTTTTTCGTGGGGTATTTTGCTCTCTGCAGTCCAGCTGACTTGGTCTTTCCACACTCCCATTTTATGACCTCACCTCCAGGAATGAGCTGGGCCCAGCTTGGGCTCCTCCGCCCTGTCTCTGAAATGGAAGTCCAGTGTTTTGTTGTTGAAAATGTGTTGATTTTTTTTCTCTTTTTTTTTACTGAAGTACAGTCACCATGCAGCGTTCCATCAGTTTTAGGTGTGTGAATCAGTGATTCAGCAGTTCTGTACCTTACTCAGTGTGCATTGTGAGACGTGTGTCCCCAATCCCCTTCACCTATTTCACCCGTCTCCCTACCTACCTCCCCCCTGCCAGTCACCAGTTGGTTCTCTGTATTTAAGAGTCTGGGTTTTTGTTTGTTTGTCTTTTTTTACTTTGTTTTGTTTCTTAAATTCCACATGTGAGTGAAATCATATGGTATTTGTCTTTGACTGACTTATTTCAATTAGTATTATACTCCTTAGATCTATCCGTGTTGTTGCCATTGGCAAGATTTCATTCTTTTCTATGGCTCATATTCCTCTGTGTGTGTGTGTGTGTGTGTGTGTGTGTGTGTGTGTAATTGTGTATATATCACATCTTCTTTATCCAAGTGTCTATGGATACACACTTGGGTTGTTTCTGTATCTTGGGTATTATAAACAATGCTGCAACAGACATTGGGATGCGTGTGTCCTTTTGAATTCCTGTTCTTGTTTTCTTTGGGCAAATACCCAGTATTGGAATTACTGGATCATTTGGTAATCCTATTTTCAGTTCTTTGAGGACCCTCCAGACTGTTTTCCACAGTGGCCACACCAGTTTGCATTCCCACCAACAGTGCACGAGGTTCCTTTTTCTTTATCTCTTTGCCTACACTTGCTATTACTTGTGTTTTTCATTTTAGTTACCCTGACAGGTGTGAGGTGATATCTTATTGTGGTTTTGATTTGTATTTCCCCGATGATGAGTGACATTGAGCACTTTTTCGTGTGTCTTTTGGCCATCTGGATGTCCTTTTGGAAAAATGTCTGTTTGGGTCCTCTCTTCATGTTTAAATTTGGTGTTGGGCTGTTCAAGTTCTTTATGGATTTTGGATATTAACCGTTTCGTAGATCTATTGTTTGCAAATATCTTCTCCCATTCAGTAGGTTGCTGCCATTTCCATCTTTGTAAACAACATCATGTTGACCGTTCCTCTATTCATTCTGCTCCTGATGGATATTTGATGTGTTTCTTACCTTTTGCTATTATGAATGATATTGGTGTAAACATTCTTCTGCATATCCCTTGGTACCTCTGTTTTTTCAGGGTACGTACCTGGAAGTGGAATTATAGGATCATTGAGCATGTGGGTTTACAACTTTTAAAAATACTGCTGAATTGTTTTCCCGGTAGTTGTATTATTTTGCATCTCTTAGGCGTGAATAAGACTTCCCATTGCTCCACTTCATTGTCAACAAGTGGCAGTGCGGGCTCTAAATTTTTACCAATTTAGCGGATGTGAAGTGTTTGTCACTGGTGGTTCAGTTTATGTGTGTCCATGATTTGTGTTTCCAGTGTTCATTTAGCTGCCGCTTGAAAAACATCTGTTAGCATTTCATTTAGTCTGTTAGCAATGAACTGTCGGTTTTTGTTTATCTGAAAACTTTTTCCCTTGCCTTCTCATTGAGAGGGTATTTTTTTTTTAATGTTTTATTTATTTCTGAGAGAGAGAGAGACAGCGTGAGCAGGGGAGGGTCAGAGAGAGAGGGAGACACAGAATCTGAAACCGGCTCCAGGCTCTGAGCTGTCAGCACAGAGCCCGACACGGGCCTCAAACCCACGAACCATGAGATCATGACCTGAGCCAAAGTCGGACGCTTAACTGACTGAACCCCCCAGGCGCCCCTCATTGGGAGGGTATTTTCATAGAATTTAGAATTCTTATTTGGTATCTTTCAACATTGAAATGATGTCTTTCTAGTGTCTTCTGGTTTCCGGTTGAAAGTTGTCTTGTGGCCCTTTTGAAAGCTTGTAGGATTTTCTTTTTGTCCTTGGTGAGCAGTTTTACCCTGATGTGCTCTGGTTTGGTTTTCTTTATATTTATTCTTCTGGAGATCAGTGGCATTTCATCAGCGTGTGGCTTAGCGTGTTTTATCCGCTTCGGAAATGGTTGGCCCTTACGTCATCAGATACCACTTCTGCCCCTCTCTTCTGTCCCCAGATACCGGCTGCACATGGGCTGGGCCTTTTCACTCCCATATGTCTTTCTGAATTTCCCCTCCTTTTTACATCCTCCAGTCTGTGCTATTTTCCATTGATGTGTCTTCCATTTCGCTGCCTTTCCAGCTGTGTCCTAACTGTTGCTAAACTTTCTCTTAAACTCTTAATTTTAGTTTTTGTATTTTTCAGTTCTAGGATTTCCTTTCAGTTATTTTCTGGATTCAAATGATGGCATTTGCCATCTTGTCACTTATCTTGTTGAACTTATTAGTCAGTTATTTTAAGGCCTCTTTCTGATAAGTTCAATATCTGGATAAACTGAAAGTCTGTTTCTATTCTTTATTTCTTCTGTCCTGTCTCCACGTAACATTTGTTTGTCAAACATTTCTTACACAAAACTGTAGAAACCCTGGATAATGTTTTCTTCTTCTTGAGAGGATTTGCTTTTTCTTCTGGCCGGCAGTTAGAGTAGGGATGCCCCCTTCCTGTCTGGGCTGGTGATCACCACAGTGGGTGGTGGCCTCCATGAGGGCCTATCTCTGTGCACTTCGGCCTGCCTCCTAGTCTGTAGCTTTCGAAGCGAAAGCCTGGATGTTTCCTTGTCGGCTCTGATTCCTCCCCCTCCTCCTCCTCCCCCTCCTCCTCCTCCCCGTCCTCCTCCTCCCCCTCCTCCCAGGGCTGGTTGCTGGGGAGGATCCCACTCCCCTGCACTGCCCCCCCCCTGCCTTCTGAGGCCTGCAGGCACCTTCCACTTCCCCAAATGGGAACCCC